CCTGATGGAGTCAAACAGACAGATATAAGAATATAACACATGACATCCATAACAAAAGCATATATAAAGAAAATAAAGTACTGGATACATCAAAAGATCAAAGCTGACAGACTGACTGCAAATAATATACAGTGATAAAAATGAGGTATAGAGCACAGAGGTGGAATACAAAAAGATAGAAGTACTGAAAATCTTAGGTGGAGGAGGCAGGTCGGGCAGGGCGATCTCCGCGGATCTCCCTAGATAAGTCAGCAAGTGGTAGCTAACCAGTACTACACACTCGCCCACTCACACCTGTCTACATCATCACTACACTCACACTTCCGGCTGAGCACAAGCTCTGATACCATTTTGTCACGACCTCGAATTTTCTAATAAAATGCTCTGATACCATTTCGTCACGACTCAAATTTTCTAATAAAATCCTGAATTCATTCAAATCCAAATATATCAAAATACACCTAGGATCATATAAAAATACCATTTTTTTATACAAAGTCATTTTCCTCAAAAAATATACAAAATTCTCAAAATAAAAAAAAAATAAATCTTGCAACGCCAATTCTTCAGCCTAAGCCCGAATCTAGCAATCCACGTTCATCCTCGGTACCTGAAACTGGAGGTTGGTGAGACAAAAAGTTCTAGTAGGAAAAATCATAACAAGAATTTCATGGAGGTTTAATAAAACAGCTTCACAAAATATACATATTCATGAGTATATAAATGAAATACATATGCATTTAATTAAAACATTTAGTAAAAATCATTGAAGCAAAATCACTCCAAGCCATTCAAGGTATAAAGAACCCTACACTGGAAAAGAATTTCCTCACTGGATCGTCAAAGCCTCAAACCTTCGGCCTCCTCTGCAACTCTCGGATCCTCACTGTGTCTCTCTCTCTCTGTGAGCTCTCGGCTCACTATCTCTCATCTCAACTCTTTCTAATTTTTTTTCTTTTATCTTCTTTGCTCACCAAAGTCACAAAACAGATGAATATAAAGACAAATGCACAGACACAAAATCTCACTCACGCCTCCATGTCAGACAATATCACTCATTTTGGCTGAAATAATGCACTGGTCCCGCAACCATATCTTTCATCATCACAATCTTTTCTTCCTAATCTTATTGTAAGATTTCCTATCACATCTTCATTTATTTGAATCCAACAAAACCCACATGCAAAATCAAAGCCCAAAACCAAAATAATTTTTGGCCAAGCAATTCCAAGTAGGACCTGCACCATCATTTCATTCTCTCTCTCTTTTCTCATTTCGGCAGACCTGCCATTCTTATCCTTCCACCATTAAATTGTTATGGGTAATTTACATAAACCTCCCCTATGGTTTGCCATAATTATAGGGTTCATCCCTCCTGTTTCAGAAATTACGCGGATCTCCCCTACTTTTGAAAATATCCTACACGAACCTTCTTTCTATTACAGTCAACGACGGAAATTGATGACATCATCTACCAATTTTAGTAAAATTCCTAAAATACCCTTGTCCCTACCAATTGATGTATATATATATATATATATATATATATGTGTGTGTGTGTGTGTGTGTGATATTATATGTGTACTCCACCTGTGTGTAACGCCTAGGTCCTTCAGTTCATAGGGAGAAGATTTGGAAATGTTAGCTTGCTGGTCTATCTTTCTATTTCAGCATTTTGTTTAGTCTGTTTTTCTGAGACCAACCTTGCTGTAGATACACCCAAGAACTGGTTATAAATTATAATATTCAATGGGATTACAAGGCTCAATTTTCCTTGGGTTTTTTGTGGATTTTCCAGAGCCATGATCTGGACATATGAAGGTACAAAAACCACCTCCTTTAAGTCAAGTTCGTTATTGATTTAAATGTTTCGAATTGATCTCGGCTTTATCTGGCTAGAAAGTAGGACAACTGCTTGCTGGTTCCGGCATCTTTTGAACTTAAAAGTCTCTGTTTTTATCAAATTTTTCTGCATCCTCCGGCCATTTGATCATCAAATTTTCTTCATTTGAACTTCAATTTGCAACCTCTGTAAATCCTGGATCTGAATTCAGAGCATCCATAAACAGGAAGTCCTATTGTCGTCGCTGATGAATCTGTTCATCGCCGCAGTAGTCACTACGGCAGCCGAATACTCTGCTCGCCGCCCTCCTCCTTTCTTTCTCAACCCCTCTCTCTATACTACTATATACACACAACAATCCATCATGATACTTCTCCTCTCTTTCTCTCTCTCTCATGGATGCTCTCTACAGGCCACCAAATACAACCGATTTTATTTCTATTTTTTTGCTTTAAAGCTACAATTCTGAACTGATCTGATTTAAGCTACAGTTCTGAACTAATCTTAACCTCAAACGGTTGTGTTAGGCTTTGCCACTTATCCTGTTGGCCCACGGCAGTTCAATTTGGGCTAGATGAATTGTTTGCATTATGTGACAGAAGAAGAAACAGAGTTGCGATGGCGGATCGAGATCCCAGCCGAAGAACTCTTAGATCGCCTTTTTCCCTCTCTCTCTCTCTCTATATATATATATAGAAAGAAAGAGAGAGAATATATATATATATATATAAAGAGAGAGAGAGAGAGAAATGGGGTACTTTAGTCATTTACCATAGAGAATTAAGGGCATTTCAGTAATTTTGACAGCTCCGTTAGTGTATTTAACGGTCCGTCACACATAAATGAGGTCTTCGTAATTTTCGAAACAGAAAAAGTGCTCTCTGCAATTAGGACAAATCATAGGAAAGGTCTGTGTAAATTACCCAATTGTTATATATAAAAATAATATATATACAAATGCATAGAAAGCTAAACCCATTAACATCTTTCAAATGGGACCCGCAAAGCAATACAACTTTCCATTTCACAATTTCCCTTCTTCACTTATTCCTTCGGCTACTCCTTCATCAGACATACAAAATATATATAAAATAACAACTACACATCCACTAAAACAAACTCAAAAATAAAAATTTTAAAAAAAAATTTAAAAAAAATCCCGGTTATCACACCCTAGTAACTCCCCAGTGCCTCAATAAAAAAAGTATTCTCTATTTAGACTTCGTTTCGGTTGATGGAATTGGAAGGAAATTTACCCAAAAACAAAAAAATAAAAATAAATAAATGAAGGAAGAAATAGTGATTTTTATGTTTAGTTTGTTAACGAAGATAGAAAATAAAAATAAAAATAAAAATAAATTATTAAAAAATTTTAGAGAGATAGTTTATCGTCTCAGCTCCATGAATTGAGACTGCCAATTGTTCCTCCATTCGCACACTCCTCAAATCAGATCTCCGATGAATGAAATTCGCAAGTGAGAAGGAAGTTGGTAAGTGAGGAGGGAAAACAAATCTAAAAACCATATTATATAAATATATATTGTGCAAGACAAGAGAGGCTAAATTTGAGCCTGCCTAAAATTTATTGCAATTGCCAAACTGATACAACCATAAAGTTTGCTCAAATCTTAAACTGATCAGAACTGTCTGCCCATTTTACAATTAGGCTGTGTTTAGTGGTATGAAATTAAAACCTTGGGATTGGTAGAATTAGAAAAAAAAATTAGTTTAATTTTCTAAGTTGTTTTTTTTTTTAAAAAAAATTTCAAATTTCAAAGCTCCAATTCTAATTCCAATTTCAAACATAGCCTTAAAAGATCCAAACATAGCCTTAAAGATTTTGCATTTCCACCATGTGAAGTACTTGGTGTCTGAAATGGCAAGTGAACCCGTTGTTCAAAACAATATCAAGTTCTCATAGAGAGAGAGTTTGATATAATTTAATCACTTTTATGACTCGTCATTTGAGACTTCCGAATTTATGACTCGTCCTTTGAGTCTCTTTAATCACTGAGCCATATATCCGACTCTTGATATACGATGTTATATCATTTCAAATAAAATACCGCTTAGAAAAGTCGCATATACAGATGTGTACATTCATGTTGGGGACATGGCATAAAATGGATATAAATTGCTGATTAACTGCAAGTCATTGTCATTCCACAAAGGCACAGCCAAGCAAGCCAGATATTTAGCCAAAATATTCCAATAATATATTTGTACTATGTTTGAAAGTGTCGGATTGGGACTCAAAATTACTAATGCTATGTTTGGCAGCAAATGAATCGGCGCCTTGAATGTAAAATTGAAAAAAAATTAGTATAAGTTTAAAATTAAACTTTTTCCTATTCCAAATCTAATAAACTGATTCGACACTCTCAAATATAACACAAGTCCGAGGACCACTTGAAAGGGTGTTAATTTTTATTTTAACTTTCTTGTTTAAATTGAATGACATTAGAGGAACTTGATATGGCATCTTTATTAAATAGTAGAAATTAATTACTTAATGCTTCTCCTACGTAATAAAAAATAGATTGGGTGTGATGGTAGGCTTGCAAACCAGTCGAGTCAAGTGAAGTTGAGCACGTGTAAGAGTATTCGAGTTCGACTTATTTAGTTAACTTTGATCCTAATCTTGAACTTGAGATCAAACTGTTATGGAGAAAAAGTAACTACATATTCAAACAATCTCTAATAAAAGAGTCGCGAGACTTCTCAAGCTTATTTATGAACGCATGTTTACGAGCCTAACTCAAGTCATAGTAAGAGTCATGTTCGCGAGACTTCTCAAGTTAATTTATGTAAGGTGACATGTTGATGAGCCTAACAAGTCATGAATCCGTTTAGGTTTTATGTTTAAATCGAATCAATCGAATCCATAAGCGCCCCAGGAAACAAATACAAGTGCTTGTTTTCAAACTCAAAGCGACCATAGTTTTTCAATCCGAGCAATTGTCATATCTTGGTTTGCAAATTTCTAACGGAAGAACTGTTTGTACATACAATCTACTTTTTTTTTCTCTCTAAAATTGCACATGCTCACCATATTGCCACTAACAGGCTCCAACACTCGAGAAAAAATGAGAGCTCGTGCCATCCCAACCTTACTCTATTATAAAATGTTTGTTTGATAATCAAATAGGCCATATCATATAAACCAAATTAACTAGAACTCCATTCACATGCGACCAAAGGACAGTGTTCAGTAACTTGAAAAACTCAAACATTAATAAGTGAATTAACCCCCTCACATTTCTACATCACTCAACCCCCCTAAATTCTGAGATATATATACATAAATATATATACACACACATAGCCTAAACTGGATAAAAGAGAGAGCTCTGTTAGATGAAATATGTTTAGTCAAACTCATCATCAGATGTTTGGTTTCTTTGCCTCCTCATTCTTGATCCCCATGACATAGTCCTTGTTGAATCTTTATGTTCACTTCTTCGCCTCAGCTCCATGAGTTGGGACTCCCAATTGTCCCTCCATTCACCACACTCCTCGGATCTCTGATACAAAAAAGAATTTCCAAATTAATATATAAGAGGTTGGTAAGTGAGGAGTGAAAACAAATCTATAAAAACCATATTATATAAACACACACACACATGTGACACAGGCTAAATTTGAGCCTGCCTATAAAGTGATCAAAAGCGTCTCTCCATTTCACGGTTAAGCTATGCTTGGAAGCACGGAAGCAACACTTTGAAATTTGAATCAGAGAATATTTAGTTAAAACTTTCAACTAAATTTTCTTAATGCTATGTTTGACAACTCTGAATCAACGAGATTGGATTTGAATTCAATTCCAAATCTCCGATTTAGTACTTCCAAACGGAAGTGAAGTACTAGGTGTCTGAAGTGGGAAGTGAACTCATTGTTCAAAACAATATATGTGCACAAACACAAAAACACACAACCATTCACACACACAAAATACATATACAGAGAGAGCGCCAAACCTGGTCATATTGGGACCGTTTTCTAGCAGAGAAAGCCAGGTGCAGACCCTTTGCCAAATCTCTGTCATACAACGCTCTGGTTTTCGGGTCAGACAGAGTTTCATAAGCCTCGTGAACCCGAATGAACCTCTCTGTGTACTCCTCCGTGAAGTCGGGCCGTGACACGTCCGGGTGGTACTTCCGAGCCATTTGCTTGTAGGCTTGTTTGATCTCGGAGGAAGTCCCGCTCTCCGATATGCCCAATAGCTCGTAGAAACTGTGTGTGGCCTGTGCTGTCCTGCTCAGGTGGTCATTAATGGCCGCTTTTGTTCTGGTTCTGTATGATCCAGATGGGTTTTTGATGGAAATGCTAGGTTTTAGGAGATGGGCGTTGAAGAAAATGTGAGAAGAAGGTTCAGACGTTGGTTTTTTGGTTGGTATATGAGGGTTTATGCAGAGAAGCGAGTGAGCTCTGTTTCCAGTTCCAGATATCATTCCTTGTCTCATTTTCTTTTCTTTCTGATCAATTTCTTTCGATATGTATTACAACTTTACAGCTATCTATATATATAGAGTGAGAATGGGGGGCAAAGTCCCCACAGAGTGGGAATGGAAGTTGTCAATGACTATGGCCCTGTTTGGCTGGGCTTTCTATAGCCTCAAAACGGGCTTCTAAGTCTAGAAAGCCCTTTTTCAATTTTTATGAGTGTTTGGTGAAATTTATGAAATGAACTTTTAGAAAACGCTGGTGGTTTAGAAGCCCGATTCAAAGAAGCCACTAAAACCAACTTTCTGATTGACTTCGGGCAATTAATTAAATAATAATTTTTTTAAAAAAATTGTAGCCTTCTCAGTTAATTCTCTCCCCATCTTCGTTCTCTGTAGCCTTCTTCTCTGTTCATCCTCTCTCCATAAAACAATTTTGAAAGCTCCGTTTTGCGCTGCCAACGGAAGATCTGATCATTGGCACCAAAATTTCCAGTGAAATCTCCTCTTAAGCCGTTTTGAGACTTGAAAGACGTTTGCCGGTGACTCACTGATCTGACCCAGTCTGTAACGGAGACGAGACACAAATTGGAAGAGAACCGTCGTATGGGTGACCAGACCGCCTCCAGTGATAGGGGTTTCTCCGCCATAGGAAATGTAGGCAGGTTAAATTACAGTAATTTTGGTCTTTATACTCCTTTTTTTCTGCCACCTTCCACCTTAATGGGATCTCTGATCATTCCTTTATCTCTATTCCAGTTACCTCGGGCCAGATAAATCTAGAAAACCATTGCAATTTTTTTGATTTCTGGGCTGATCATGAGGCTCTTATTCCCACAATAAAAAAAAGTGTGAATACTAACATTATTGGAGTTCGATTTGATCAATTATCTTAACAGCTATACACAATATAAGTATATATCTGCGTATGCATATATAGAGAGAGTGAAATAGTTGGAGAGAGACAACGTGTATGAGAGGGGGCTCCAAATCCGAAACTTCATTAGGTGGCGAATTTCTAGAAAGAAAATGGATCTATTTGCAGTAGTGTTTATAATGAAATCGATTAACTTTTTTTTTTCTGTCTTGGTTTAGGTTGAAACTTGCAAACAGTGGTGATAATTTAAAGACCTCTTAATAAAAAATAAAAAAATAATAAAAAAAAAAATAGTTAAAAGGCATTTCAAAAATGTACTCACCAAACAACTTTATTGTCTTGAATTTCTTCGAATAAAATTACTTTAACAAATGACTTATCATCAAAGCCCATTTGATGTTTGGAAGCTCCCCAAACACAACCTATGAATGCCAATATCGGCTCTACATACACCAAAATGATTTGTGGCTTGTGGGGCCAGTTTGTGGTGGGCTCCACACACCATGTGTGGGGCCATTTAAAAATAATTTTCTATTTTATTTATTTATTTATTAATTACTATCAGACAATTCAAATATTATGGGCAATCTTAATGGTGCACACAGTTCGATTTGACCAATTTAAGAGTTTTTTTAGAATCAAACTGATTTTAAGGGTTCCAGAAAATTTAGAACCAAATTGAACTATTTGACCAAATAAACCAAACCAGACCAAATTGTGAGCGACCGATTTGGTTCGTTTCGGTTTTTCATTTTTTTTTTTAACTACAGAAATATTTATATTTCAAAATTCAAATGCACAACAATAAATCAAGTTAACTGACACATTTAGAACTACTAATATATTCATAACTTTTAATCTATTCTTTTATGTCACTTCTGAAACTGAAGTAAATACATTCAAAATTACTAATTCAACAAGAAATATTCAGCCATAATTCAAAAAATCAACAAAATTCAACAACTGTGGATCAATAAAATTTAAAAATAATCTAATAAATTGATAAGATGTAAGAGAATTAAGAGTGGACCGTCTAATTGATAGTTGCAACAAAATTCTAAGTGATTTGGATGATAGGATTATAATAAAGAATTTTAAACCGTGATCAAATCGTATATTTACGATTTTATAAATTTAAAATCGTGACCGAACTAAATCGTTATTAAATCGAACCAAATCGTTTCGTCCGGTCTAATCCGGTTTAAATTTTTGATTTGATCGGTATTATTTTTATTTAAACTAGTAATTGTTAAAAAAACAATGCACGACAAAGAGGTCAAACTCATTTAATAACCTGCGCAGAACGCTTTCCCATCTATTCTTGCCGGACAAAGCGAAAAAAAGTGGAAATGAGTTGTCTTGAGTCATGACTTTTACAGGCATAGATAATCATTTTCTTAATTTAAAAGCTTATCTGATAATGACTAATATAAACTAGATATTTTGTTTAGGTATAGATTAGATAGGACCATATGCAAGTTGTCATGATTGTTATTGACTTAAGGTACAGTATGGTGTAACTATTGCAGATTGCAACATGTGATTTACTTTAAGATTATGTTTAAGTGTAAATATAAAAGTGTTTACTCCATTATTTATGTCTAATAGAAAGATGACAAATGGCGAGTTTTAGCAAATTTGTCATATGAAATTTATATACTAATTATTCAATAGAGGAAGGTGTGACATGAAATTATCGACATGGTTACCACTAGAAAAGAGAAACATGGCAAAGTCTAATGGAACTCGCCACGCTGGATTGTAATTCTAGTTAATATATTCTTTCCGGACATTGAAATTACGTAGTTTCATTAGAAGAGTGATTGGTCGAGATAAGTTCCACCAGGTGGAATTACTAATTGAAGGAAAGTGGTGAGTCCTATTAGGACTCACTAAATTTGGGATGTAATGTCCTAAAAAGGTGGCATGGAGTTATTATCATGAGTGCAATCTCATGAGATGATTAAAGTCACAGATCAACCAACTAATGATTTATTACCACGTGACGAGTTCTATTGAACTTGCCACGGCGGATTAATTCTTTCAAGGGGGAATTTATTAGAAAATCCTATTCTTATAGGATACTAACAAAATTGATATTACTCCTACTATATATACATATATGTATATATAGGACGGATAGCCCCGAGGGAGAATTTATATAGAGGGGTTTTACTAACGGGTCGGTGGTCTATCGGTATCAGATCCTTACTTTTCAAAGGGAAGTCAATGGTTCAAGCCTCAGTGGAGGCATGTGTGTGTGAGTACCAACTATGAAAAAACATATAAAAGGGTTTTTTTATGATTTTATTGGGGGTAATTTCAAAATTTTATAGGTATAAATACAAAAAAGTACAAATTTAGATATATAAAATGCAATAACAAAAATTTTTAGTGAGGGCGGATGCCCTCCACTGAGCCCACAGTACATCTATACCTATATACATATATATATATATTTATTTATTGAATTTGTTAGTTTGTTACTCAATTCTCGTCACATATAGCACCAGTGACATGAATTAATGCTCTTCATTGCCAAACCTATCAGCGCAAATTACTTGATATGTCCAAAATTGCAGTAATAAACCAACCGAGACGAAGTCAAAACATAGTGTTGGATGGGCTACTTTTAAAAACTAGACCACACATCTGTGACACTACAACTCTTTACCATCTAATCCCGCCAATTAGAGAGATTAGGATGAGTCGGAACAAGTTGGGTTCGATCTTATTAGACTCTAAACCACTAATAAACAACTCAAGTTCGGTTTGACATGAGTTCGATTCACGAGCCAAACAAGCTCAAAACACGACTCGTTTATTCATGAACATGATCATAACAAGCTCGCCAAAGGACTCATTTTAACCTCGTAGAAATATAGCCCTTAATTATAGACCCATCAAATTAGCTTCTGCTCGGTTTCAAGATGTTAGGCCCATTAATTCCATGTCTTGTTAGGTGCATTAAGCCCATGTATTATAAAAATCAAGCCAGCCATGTTTAAACCCTTGTAGGCCCATTAATCACATGTCTTGTTAGGTGTAATAAGTCCATGTATTATTAAAATCCAACAAGCCAAGTTTATATCCAAAAAGCCCAAGCCATACATTTATATTCAACTAGATAAGTTTGTATAAATAATAAAATAATAATAATACTAATAAAATCCATGTATTATTAAAATCCTCGCATCCAATATGAGAGAAATAAAAATAGATATTCGATGCGAGGATTGAGAGTCTCTTAATTTTGCAAAGCTCATATCATCACTAAAGACCAGGATTTAGGTGAACAAGTGTGACAATTTCTTGTTTGTAATCGAGTTACCAAGTCGAGCTCAAATTTCTTTAGGGCTGTGCTATTTGGACCGAAGCCATAAGACTGTTTCCTTTGACCGCCATATCGAGCTTACTATCCAATCTTGGTGGTTCAGCTTCCAACTACGAGCTCGAGTGTATCTTCCCCATGTCAAAGTTGTAGATGGCAGTGGTTTTGCCAATTTCATTGGAGCTACCAAAGGTTGTGTAGCGTAGTGGTATCTGTTGGGTTTTGTGGCTCGAATTAGGTCTAGAGAAGATCGACTTGCTCAAGTTATTTGAATCCAGTTCAATCAGGGTGAAAATTGAAGATGGATATGTTCAACTTATTTGGACCGTCCAATAAGGATGGAAATTGAAGTTATGCTATGTTTGGCGGTATCGAATTGATGACTTGAATTTAGTATCAGAAAAAATTTAGTAAAATTTTTTCCTCTAATTCCAAATCCAATGTACCAATTGAGTGCTCCCAAACATAACATTAAGGAATTTATAATTGATATGGTAAATTTGTTGGGAAACGTGCAAGTTTAAAAAACTTTTTGAGGGATTTTGATTCATAAATCTTGATTCATCACATAGAAACAAGTTTTATGCAAAAATAAAATATAATGTATCATTCAATTAACAAATTGAATACTTACATTAAAGGTCTGAGTAAACCATTAAATCTTTCCTTTAAAGTGAATGTTCTCACTTATTGTAGATCCCTTACTAAGATGCCTTCTCTTTGGTTCTCCATCTTCTTGGTAATTATTTTGCCTTTAGGAATCACTCATAAGCTTCCATGAATGAACTTGAAAAACTAGACTTGTGGGAGCCTCCATTACATGAGAACACTAACCCTAATTTTCTAGAGAGAGAAAATATA